TATATATATATATACATTTGAGAGAAAATTATATATAAATTTATAGAGCAAAAATAAAATCTGGAATAATTATCAGATTCTATTTCAGAGCACTCAGAAATTGTAGCTCATGAAGAGGAAAATACATTGAAAATATTTTTAATTTCCGATACACTAAATAATTCATATTCAACATGAAACAAAAGTCTCATAAAATATTTTCAAATAGAAAAGTCAACCATTTTGACAAACCCAATGAATCAATATATATATATATATATATATATATATATATATATATATATATATATACCAACTCTATCACAACTACAATTGAAAAGAATATATTTCTTTAATCAATTCTCCACCAAGCAAAGTGATAATACCACTATGATACAAGTGACTACTGCGAGTGAAACAAGTAACCAGTAACTCAATCCTAAACAGGGAACAAAGGATAAACATTTACTCCTATTCAAAAGACCAGGGAGGAGTGTGAACAGAGCAATAGCCAAACCTATCTACTCTTACTGAGAAAAAGAATAATTAGTAAATAAATTTCAGAGTTCAGGCAGAGGCAAGAACCATTATTTTTTTTTTTTTTTTTTTTTTATAAGCATTTCACCCCAAACAAGGCGGGGAGCCACTAAGACGCAAGGGGTTACAGAAAATAGGAAGATCAGATAGGAGTGATAGAAGAAAGGATGAGGGTAGTAGATAGATTAAGGCAACTGGAGATGTCGATTGACATTACACTTGAATAGCTGGAGATTATAACTCTCAGGGAAACAGGAGAAGGGAAGAGAGTTCCACAGGCGAGAGGTACGAGACATGAAGCTATTAGAGTAGAAGAGACGGCTACATTTAGGAGTTTCGACAGTGAAGGGGTGAGAGCGGGATGCTAGCCCTCAGAGGGCGCTTGAACTCATGAAGTTTGGGGAACCAGCGAATGCAGTTCCTCGGAGCAATTTCCATGAAAGTATTTGTAGAACAGACAGAGGGAGGCGACGGTGCATCTGTGAGAAAGTGACTGTAGACGAGACGCCAGGGCAGGGCCAACCATATTGCATATCCGCTTCTGGAGCCTATCAAGAACCCCGAGGCAAACAGAAGGGGCGCCAGACCATTTGGGGATTTAAAAAATTCAAGAATTTTATGAAAATAAAACTTTGATGGAGTTTTAAAAGTTTATATTCTTTCTGGAATTTATCAAATCTTCTCTCTCTGGCTGTAGGATATACGATGAAGCTTTTAATTAAGGTTTTGGGACATTTTCTTTGTTTTCCAATGCAAAATTCAGGTTGATGCAGATTCCTGTAAAGAATCTGATCTCAGATATGATTGCATGTATATAGGTAAGCACTTAAGGTTTATTCATGAAAACAAATTTATGCATTCAGCATATTCATTAATCCCAATACTCAATACTTTGACTCAGTTTACCGATTGTTCTTTTATAATGTTCATCTTTCATTTGAAACGTCTCTTCTCATGGTTTTGTTTTCAGCCATGGCAAATACCATAATTATCAGTATAGAGGACACATTTCTTTTTTGTAAAGGACATCTAAAAGCAATGCCCTAGCTCTTATATGCAGAGGTAAGAACTTTCTGTAAGACAACATTTAGTCTTCTTTGTATAAGAATTACCTGCTTCCATATTCATGCATTCTACACAGCACAGTATGGTAAATATCGTTGACACTGTCACATCTGATAACAACACACAGGTACTTATTTTGTTAAAATAAACAGGTAGTAAGCCTTCAATCATGCCAACTTGCCTTGGATTACCTTGAAAAGGCAAGAGTACTTGTGTTAGAGATGGAAAATCTAAAAAAATAGATCTTGTAAGAGGAAAGCAAAGTTATTTTGCTAAAAACAGTAAAAATGATTTTGAGTGAAAATAAAAAAAAAAAAAAGAGAAAATGTCAAAGGCAGCTTTTTAAAAAGTTTGAAGAAATATATTATCTTTTTTCCAAAATTTCTATCTTGTATGAGATTATTTTCCTGAATAGCTGAAATACTTGCCTCATCTTTTTGGTTAGGCTTTTTCTTAGTTTATATGTTATGGCGTAAACTAGTCTTGAGATTTCCAGGCATTTGGCAGCAAAATTTTTTGTGATCAAACTTTCTGCAACATATTAATTAATTCAAAATGCATATCAGAAATAAACACAATGAAAAAGGAAATTACTAATTAAAAAAGAATGGGTAATTAATTGCATTAAATTTTTGTGACACAATAGTTTGGAAAACTCTGTGTTACAATATTACTGATATATTGTGACTTCAATCTTCACTGGGTGCTTCCAACTAGTATGCCTTGTACCAGACTATGCTAATCATAGCAGTAAACAAAAAGGGCTTTCAAAAAGGGTAGAATTTAAATTTACATATACTGGCATATACTTACACATACACATACTCACATATACTTACACATACACATATAAAAAAAAGTAATTAAATGAAGTCAGTTAGACTATATACACAAAACAGATATTTAAAAAAAATTTAATTTAATTTAATTTAGGAGGTACAGTGGAAAATGGATAGGAGCTCGAATTGAGGAATCAGAGAACCGAGTTCAAATTCCAATTAGATCCATTACATTCACTTACGGTCTAATACCCTTGAGAAAGGTATAAATCCTCTTCTTCTCCCCCAACTGGGTTCTTTAGCCTTGGGTGGCAACTGGTCTAGGAGAATGAAAATCTCTGAATTCAAAATCATCCTGGAGAGGATTGGGCTCTGCCAGTCTACCTTGCACAAGAAACACCACTTTTACTGCTATGCAATACACCTGGTGTCCCTGTGATCCTAATAGGTCATGCAATTCATTATTCATGTGATTTAATTTAAATTTCAGTGTCCGCTCTCTTTCATGTGCATATGTAATAAAATCACTTTAATCTGATTAATTCCTAAAGGACGATATGTATCATACAAGTTTTTTTCTTTTTTCTCATAGATTTTCCTATATATTTATATATATACAGTGTAACCCGGATATAAGAGACCCTGATATAAGAGAAACCCGGATATAAGAGAGATTTTCTCTGGTCCCAAATTAGAGCCCATACTTACCTAAACAAAATAGACTAATATAAGAGAAACCCGCATATAAGAGAAACCCGCATATAAGAGACTTCTTCTCCAGACCCAACAACTCTTTTATATCCGGGTTACACTGTATATATATATATATATATATATATATATATATATATATATATATATATATATCAATCTCACTCTCTGTCATCTTGTACTCTCATGATTTTAACAGCAACTGGGTTTTAAGCTCAGATTGTAATATAAGTAGAACTTATTTATGGAATCCATGACAAAATGGTTGTCTCACCGTATTATAGCAGGCTGATTCCTTCTGCTATGTTGTATCTTTACAAGATTCAAATTAGGCCCAAAATGGAGTACTACTTCCATAACTGGGCCTGGAACTGCTCAACCCTTGCTCTGAAGCCTTGGTAGAATTCAAAATTATTTACACAGTCTTGTGAGAGAAGATTTAATTCTCACACTTCAACCTCTTTCCCACTGGCACAACACTGTAAGTCTGTCACTACTTTATAGCAAATGTTCAGAAGAGCTCCACTCTTTTGTTCTCCTAGTTCCAATTTTTACTAATAGGACACACCACACTATCTCAATGAAGTCAAATCACCCTTATTTCTTCTGTGTTTCAAAGGTAAGGCAGAAGTTCCACTTGTACATTTTTACACACATGCTTTCATGAATGATACAATCTTATCCTCTTCAAGTCAATGGTCAATCATTATCTATCCTCCTTATCCTCCATGTCTCCACTTTCTATCAACTTCTTTTCTGTTTGTATCATTATCATTTTGACTGTAACCATCTCCATTCAGTGGCTTCATATTGGGTGATATTTAATAAAAACAAGAATTAAAAGAAAACTTGACTGAAAATAATGGTAGATACTGTCCCACCAAAAATGATGGTGTTGTAAAATTGTGTATATAACAGATCATTTCAAAGTTTGTACCCAATTTTAATTGTTAATATAAAATGACAACGTGACACTAGTGTTTTGTGCTAATTTCTGGTATGTTCTTGGATGAAAACCTTACATCATTCAATTGTAAGTCAGACTTTGTTGAAGGCTGAAGTTTTGTCCATAAATGAATGTTTTAAAGATGGAGTATGAAAAGTTGCACTTTTACGATTATGGTCTATGAAGTTCAGAAAGGAGTAAGCATCAAATATGCAGCCAAAACCATGCAGAAGGTTTATTTGGATTGGGCTTTATCTCTTCAGATGGTCAAAAATTAGTTTGGTTGATTTCATCAAAGGGATTTTAACCTAAACAATCAACCATGCTCCAGGTGAACCTCTGACATCAATGAAGACACTGTGCTTGCCATTGTGTAGAATAAACTGAAGATTTCAACAGAAGAGATTGTTAAACAATGAAGTAATTGCAAAACAAGCATCTTAATATGCAGAATCTGTGGTTAAATTGGGCTTGCATGCAATTTAGATGTTACTGTTCATTTGGTGGGGTTGCAGAGCTTGCTGGCTAAACAATAAGAAGTATTGTGACCAACTCACTTATCTCAATGCATCTATTCAATAAAAATAACCAATTTTATCAATTAATCTCTTCAATTCTAGGGATAATTGTTATCTATTTACCATACTTTTGTATTCTTCAATAGTAAAACGAGAAATATATGAGAAAGGAAAAATGGATTAAAATTAAAAAATAACAAACTCATGTGTATGTATTTACTATTAATTAATGTCTGTACGACAAAAAATGAAATGAATTTATTCATGTGACTGAAAAATCAAATCTTAACAGAGAGATATAGATGGTCTAGATGTTGTTATTTTCTAAACAAACTAAACTTGCATCAACCTGCGTACTGTTATTTATAAGGTTGTAATAAATTAGGCAAAGGTCTTATCTCAACAAAAGGGCATTGATAGTAAATGATATTCCAATTTTACTGGGTACTGAGCTTTGGTTAGGGCTTATGGCCACATCACATTAAAACCTCTGGTACCCATATGATCACCAAAATTAAGCTATGTCAAGCCTGGTCAGTACCTAGATGGGTGACTGTTTGGGAATACCAGGTGCTATAAGCTTGGATGTGTGGGTCGTGTAATAGCTAATGGCTTGGAATTGTTAGTCGGTGAGCCAACTTTCAATTCAAGTTAGTATCATGATATTCACCTATGCACAAATATCCTTGGGAAAGATGAATCCACACCTTCTCCTCCAGCTATGGGTTAATTAGTAAGACTTGTATTACTAAATTATTATTATCTAAAAAAAAATCCTTACAATCTAAAAATATTTTCTGGCTTTAAATAACTTGCAAAGGGTTGATAAGCAGTAAAAAATCAATCAATCAATCATAAGCTCTGATTAGATTAAGTAGCAGTTTACTAATATTCTGTGTAAACAACAAAATTGTTCTTATCTTTTAGCCTTGGTTCTTCAAAGTATGAATTTCAGCTTCACTCTATCAGATCAATTATATCAATAAAACTTATGACATAGCTATAATTACTTAATAACTTTAACCTATCTTGCTATATTACAGGGTCGATTCATCCTGATTACCTATGTATTCCTTTGGTAAGTAGGGTGTTGTACTTTGAAAGCTTCTTCCCAAGAATAGCTACTCTGTGGTTCCATTACAACCTTAATATCTGGGGGTAATCATTATTCTAACTTTCATATTCTTGCAATCTTTACTTTCTACTTTTTCCTCTTTTCATATTACACATCTCATTCAATAGCCCTAGTGTTGGGTGAACTGTAGTGAGAAAAATAACACCTGTAAAAAGAAAAATAAACTAATCAAAAATTGATACAACCTAAGAAAATGGGTCAAAAATGAACAGCAGAAATGCTTCTTGCATTCTATCTCAAACTTATAAGATCTTTAATTTTTGAGTGATTTAAGTCCTTCTCGGATATAACTGCTGAAAGTTCATGAAATCAATTTGAAAAACACAATTTTGGCATGTTTCATATTCAGACAACAAATTGGTCCTGATCTGGCATCTTGGCTTCAGCCACATTTCCTCCACCATAAAGTTGTTTCCCTTTGCCTTTTCTATAAATATTTTCATGGTAATTGTTCAAATGAGCTCTTCACTATGGTAATCTAGAGTTTTTGAATTTTTGGCATCAAGATCTCATCAATTTACAGGTTAAAGTTGAGCTGGCTAGATATAGTCATAAGTTCTATTTTAACAGTTTCTCTTTTCGCACTTCTGACTTATGGTACTCCCTTCTGGCTGTATGATTTCCAGCCAACTTTAATCTGCAAAAATTTAAATGCAGTGTCAATCACTATCTACTGTCCTCCTGATTACTCTTTTCTATTTCCACTCAGTATTAATGCTTCTGTTCCTAATTCTTCCACACCCAGTAATCCAATGTGTCTTAGTGGCTTTACTGCCTTGCAAGGGGTGAAACTGATAAAAAAATATGATTAAATTTTTAATTTCTAAGTAGTTGAAATGGTACGTAATCCTGAAGTCTGTTTATGATCTTGATTTTTTTTTTTTTTAAAAAAAAGTCTTTTGACAGTATTCCAAAAAGAAATTTTTTGTTTAAATTTTTGAGTTTGGATATAAATTCCATATTTATTTCATTACTTTTCATTCCAAATATTTCCCAATTTTTTTCTCAAACATTATCAGTATTTTCTTTTTTTTAATCAAACCTCATTTAACAGTTTTATTTTATAACTTACAAATAAACAAATCACCTGAAAATATTTCTTTTAATTAGATTCCAAAGCTGTATTGATTCTGTTTTTTTTTTTTTTTTTTTTGTCTCAATCGATTCTCCATTAAATGATCTGTTAGTCCTGATCTGATTTGATGGATTTTTCATTTTATAAATTTGATTTTGTTTCTCATAATAATGAATTCTGTTTAGCATTTATTGATTTTTTTGACAACACTTTTCATTAAATCTGATTTGCATAAATTTTCCACACGCCACAGATTGCAAAATTTAATGGAGTTACACATTATGGCCAAAAGCATTTCATACACCCAATAGATTATTGATTGGTTGAATGCTAGGTTCAAATCCAGCTTAAGGCGATGTCTTTCTTCTTACACTTATTTATACCCACTGCATATAAAACATGACAATAAAAATAATAATATGATATTGTGTTGTTTTTTAATATTAAAATATAAAGTATATGAGGATTTATGAAAAAAACAGACTTTCAAATTATTACTAACAAAAAAGAGATATACTTGATTTTGTTAAGCTCACAAGTTTTATTCACGTTATTCCCAAAATATTATGTAAGAATTTATTTGATAGCGAGGCTAGTGATTTTCTTCTTCCTCTACAGGAAAATTTATTATTACTGTTTTATCGTTCAGGAATAATTGACCTTGAATAACCTTGAATAAATTCCATGAATATTCATGACCTCAAATAAACCTGCTGCTTCCTGGTTACCATGCTTTTACAACTTTATGTTGAACATTTGAACATTCAGGCAAACATTTTGAACATCTACGATGATTGTTCAGTTTTGTGCATGAATCATAATAGCTAAATAAATTTCTTTCTGTATTTATTACTTTTTTACTGGGCACCCTGTAATTGCAAAGTGTAGAAAAATTCTTCTTTGATGTGCTGTCTCTCTTGTGGATGTAAGCAATCAAGGCTCTTCACAACTTCGTACCTCTTGTAGTTCTAAGCAATATTTGATTCTCTACTTTGTCCTCACTCTATCATCCATTCACACAAATTTATTAAGTAGGTTACTTGCTGCTTTGCCTACTCCTCAATATGTCCTGTGAGTGTTAAATTCTCCAAGCCATCTTTTCTCATTATGCATTCTTGAAATTTCAATTATACCTTACTAATTTTAAGTATAAGTGTTATTTTTGTTTTTATTTTCTTTAAAATTTCCATGTTGTGTCCTGTAGAAATACTTTTCTATTGTTCTGTAAGAATATTGTCCAGCATTCACTGCCATGTAAAAAGATATATATAATAGATTAGTTCAGTACGTTTTTCCTTTTTTTGTTTTTCTGGAAATTTTCCTTCCTCTTAAATTAAAATTGTTAAATTTCTTGAAGACTTATAGGTATATACAGGGTGCAATGGTTGAATTGTTTTCTAAATTACGCAAAAATGAAAATAATACTGACATCTAATTTTCACAGATATGTTTATCAAAATTACACAAAAATATCTTGAAATACTAAAGTGTAAGTTTATTAAATAAAACAGCCATTGGTTTCAATCATGGCCTCCAGACGAATTCGGAATCTCCTGCATCTCTTCTGGACAGTCTCCTTGTTTAAGTTGGTGAATACTGCCATAATCCTTACCTTCAGTTCATCTTTGGTGTTACAAAGAGTTTTGTTGGCCTGCCACTCAACTGTTTCCAAATCTCTGGTGAGTGAATTGAGTCATGGGACTCTTTTTCTTTTGCCTAACTGATCCTACTATACTATGCAGTTGAAAAAAACAAACAACATATATGCACAAAAATTAAAAATATAAAATGGCGACAATTTACCCATTGCACCCTGTATATAATATTAATAATATAATGGAGTCATATATAGTCATTAGATACATATATAAAATAAACTTAAAGAATATTGTCTGTAAAAAATTAAAATACATTTGATAGACCCTAATTTTTGAGGATCACTTTGTGATAATACTTGCCAACATTTATTTGCAATGATAATACTACTTTTCTCAGGGCATTTATCTAAAGACTATGAATGATGCTTGTCAGAACACCTTAGGATTCTGAAATACCAGCTTTGAAAGCCATCTTGTATTAGCATTTTATTCTTCCAGTGTAGATGAAATGAAACTAGTGATTTATTGTAGAAGGAACAGTAAATGCAATAATCATAGATTAGAATGACAAGCACCCACTACCTCTGGGTGGAAGTCAATTGAAAGTTGAATCTTAGGATCAAGCCTGTGATAGTAGAAAACCTCTTGTTAGGACGTCTTTGGAGCCTTAGGGTAGTGACTTTGAAACCTAACAAGGGTGACTCAACCTTTCATCATTTTCACTGATATAAGTACCAGAGAACAACAAGAGAAAATTATCAAACTGATAAAGAACAGGTATGGTGCCAACCTCTCCCCTTTGGGAGAGAAGTCAATGAAAGAGAATTTATGTATAACCTGCAGATACAGACAATGTCTTTAGAGAAGCTGATTAGGAAGTCTCCTTGTTGGAGCATCAGCCTTGAAACCTCAGGGTACTAAGTTCAAACCCTATCATGTTTTACAAGTCTTTTCATCTCCTTTAGTTTGATAAAATTAGGTTCTAGTGATATTTTGAGAAAAGAGAGATGAGAAGGATTAATGTGTTGGTTTCCAGATGAGTAGTAATGATAAAGGAAAGCTTAAACTACCACCAGCTAAAACCATTGCATTTCCTTGATATTTTATTCTATTGCTTGTGAATATGACTGTATGCCCAGTGCACATTTACAAATTTAAAAACAAATCAAATTTTAGGAAAATATGAATTAAATGATAGCTCAATATCTAAAATTTGAAACTGAGTAAATTATTTTCTCAAGGTTACAGTTTCTGGTACATTTTTCATCCTTAACATTAACAAAGTGCTACCAGTAATTGATTTTTAATAATTATTTCCAAATGTCAAACATCATGTAAATTCAAGAGTTCTTCTTTAAAAGGAATATTTTTTGTAGAGAGAATAATACCTATGCCTATAATAACCTTAATCTTTCAGCAAAACTTGCATTAATTCCTAACCACTGAATATTCTTTTCTTCTTGGTTTTCCGTATGATTCTATTGTAAGCATATCTAGAAAGCATTTACATTATACATATAACAATCCTTTTCTGTTAGTAATTCTTACTTTAATTCCTGACCACTGATCATCCCTTTCGTCTTGATTTTGGTTGCATTTCTGTAGTAATATAATGTATTTTGTAGTAAAATGACATTGCAATAAGCCCTTATTTATTAGTAATGCTTGCTTTAATTGTTTTTCAGTATCATTCTATTGTAAGTACATCTGGAAAGCATTTACATTATATATATAACAATCCTTTCCTGTTAGTAATTCTTGCATATCTAT